ATTTATAGGAGATAAGTGCAGCACTACATCTTTCAGCATTCACCCACCATTAGAAGAACGCAAGGAAGAAGAGGACTCAGGATGTCATGTGACTGGACCCGAGACCCACAGATATATATATATGTTTTTAAAAACAATTAAAACTGGAGAAGGAGACGTGGAAGAATGTCCTCTCACAAAGTTCTGAATGACTCCCGTGTTCTATACACCGAGTCCCACCTACCTGATCATGGTGGGGGATGGTGAGATCTTCCTGTGTGGGATCCCGGGAATACAGATGACGGGCACATCTCTCTGGTGGGTTCCTCTTACTGGATCCATCTGTAGGAAACACACACACTGACTGAATACATTGTTTCTATATGTGTATCAGATGATGGGGGATGTAGGCGGAGCCTCCGTACTGCTCTCTCCTCTTACCCGGTGATGTGAGGGGCGGCTCATTCTCCATCACCACGTCCTTGTAGAGATCCCGGTGTTCTTCTAAATCCTCCTCCACAGAGACATCCTGACACCTTATAGGAACCTGACACACACAATGATACAGTCACCCTCCAGACACACCCCTTGTCTGTTCCTGGATCATGTCCCAGAATTCCCGGCACCGCTCACCTCTCCCGTTAGCAGCTCAATGATCTTCTTGGCGACCTCCACAATTTTCTTGTCATTGTTCTTCTTGGGTTTCATGGAGTGAGGTGAAGGCACTGTGATGTTTAAAGGGTCACCAGACTTCACCGGAGGAAAACTCTGTTTTGAAAAATCAAAACTATTGGCATGTGACCTCCAAGAATCCTCCTCACCACTCTGGTCAGGTCTGTTTTTTATTAATAGAGATCAGAGTGATGTCATGTGACCTCCCAGAATCCTCCTCACCTCTCCGGTCAGCAGGAAGATGATCTCCAGGGTGAGGTTTAATATCGTCTCAGTCATGTGACTCGGGTCCTCCTCCATCCTCGTTGATGTGATCCCTACAGGTCTCTGCACTCTGTAGAGAGATAATATACCGGCTTTACTGATCATTATAACTCATAGACAAGTAGATATTAATTCTAACCCCTCTGTCCTAAATATGGCTCTATATTTAGGATGTATCCGGTCTATAAATGGCGGCTCTGGATGGACAGTTGGATAAATGGCTCTATATTTAGGATGTATTCGGTCTCTATATTGACCATTACAGTGAATATGGACGGGGGGGTTACCGGGTGTAAATATAAAATAATATCTTATTACCTCCTCTGCTGCCAGTTCCAGCAATGTCCCCCCTTTCCTCCAAATCACCTTTTACCTGGAACTTCCTGTTTATACTCTTACATCACTTCCGGTCTCTACTTTACATCACTTCCTGCCTGTGCTTGAGCTCACCACCTTGTGTTGAATGTAAATACTGCAGTCTAGGGTATAGTTCGACATCTGACGCTCGACTATAATTACACTGCGCAGATCAGACCTCTGATAAAATATAAATAATACAAGAATTGGGATCTTTTTATATCCAACTTTATTGAGACCCTAAAGAAAATAACGTCACTTTGTTTTACAGTAGCTGTGTGAATTGAGCCTATTGCAGTGTGTAGAACCTCCATTCCTCGCTCCTCATCTTACCTGATAGCCGGACCTCATTATAAGTCTCCTCCGTACACAAGTCTTTATATATGTGAGCCGACTGATCCTCGGGTCTCTCTCTCTCTCTGCTGCTGCGTGAAAAGGCCGAGTGCTGACGGAACATGAACAATTACAAGAGCTGCCTGTGTCGTAGAACCCGTTAGGAGTTACCCTGTTATTCGGGAACTGACCTGAGTTTAGTAAGCGGCTCGGACAAGCGGATGTTTCGTTTTTGTGGACTTGTTGTAGAAAGCCCTCCGGCATTGAAAGTGTAAAACTGCCAGACAACCCTGTTTGGACTGTTCCTGGGTCTCCCCGTCTCCTCTATGGTTTACTGCAGTCCATACCGGCTGAGCCCACCCATACCGGCTGAGCCCACCCACCTTTACAACTTAACTCGGAGGAGGAGGGCGAACTCCTCTCTGTACACCTCGGACTCTGGATTGAGAAGAGAGTCTCTATTCCTAGGACTTTGTTTGTGGAAGCTGTAGAAGGAGGCCATCGGTTGGGAGGAACAAAGCTCGTCTCCTCCAAGGAAAGTGAGAAAATATTTTCTGGAGCTGAGATGGGGATTTGTCTCGTTTTCCCTTCTTGTTGGAGGTCAGTGGAGGACGAATGGCCGAAAACCAGATAAGGGTAGCTGCACTCGATCCTTTTCAATCTTCTGATGTTGATTGATGGATTCAGCCCATGAGGTGGATGGTGCTTTGCAGAGGTTGGCCAATCATATCACGCTGCCCCCAGAAGGCTCGGTCTCATCCCGGAAACCCATGCACCGGAAATTGGAGTCAGACCCAATCCTGGGGTGCAGGATGTAGGTTTGCGGTTTCCTTAAGATCAGTATATGTGGAATGCGATCCTGGGTACCTCAATTAGAAGATCATTTCCGTCAGGACAGTATGCCAGATCTAGCCTCAGTATTTGAGAACCTGAAGTTGGCAGCAGACTTTGTGACAGAGGCAGCAGTAGACGCGGTGAGACTGGATGCCCAGGTCATGGCACACATGGTGACTTACATAGTTACATAGTATTTGGTGTTGAATAAAGACATACGTCCATCAAGTCCAACCCATATAGGTCCACGCATCATCTCATTCTTAGGGATACTGGTATCCCTGTATATTACGCTCCCTCAAGAAATTGTCCAAACGTTTCTTGAACAAATCTACACTCTTGGCTGAGTGTTGGAGGACTTCTAGGAGGGCTCTCTGGCTCAGCATCAAAGCAAAGTTTGTGCTCCATTCCATTTACGGGAGAACTTCTCTTTGGAAAGACTTCGGAAGACGCCATTAGGCGGGTTTACCTCTGCCAATACCAGTTGAGTCTGTCCTCCTTACAACTTGGTGCTTGGACGCAGGCAAGGCCTCAAAGAGATAGCCACCTATTGGTGAACACAACGGACTAACGCTAACCAAACAGCTTCCGGAACCACTGAACTGCCTAACAGAAGACTGAAGCCCACCAGGCCTCCTCAGAGGGACAACAGCAAGTGAACCTTCCTCTACAGAAGCACATACAGGCCCTGTCGGAGAAGCAGATGTTGGGCCAACCTCTACACCTCAAAAGCTGGTTCAGAGCGCTTTATGGAATTGTTTTTGAAGGATGATGCTGAAGCCCGCCTTCGGATCTTTCAGAGGGTCACGGAGCATAAGAAGCTACCCAAGGAGCAATAAGCTGATGTAGTAGGATCTTTTTTTAACTGGGGAGCCCCAAAAGACCTCCTTAAACTTACAACCTCAGGCTTCCAAGGTGTAACAAACTCAGAGGAGAAATCCTAGCCAGTTTCGGGGTTACCATTGTCTTTCAGGTGACATAGGTATATGATTTTGAGAAGCCTGGGAGGTCTGAGGTGTATAATTTGTTCCACTTTAAGAGATGAATAAGTTCCACATTACGGGGGCTATTAAGTGGTTGCAACCAGAGCTTCTCACCTCTGCTCAGATTGTGGAACGAGTTGGTCTGATACTTTTTTTTAATCAGAGCCTTGCCGGTTAAGTTGCAGCAGCACATTAGGCATACAGACCTCAAGAGTGTGGCTAAGCTGGTGTCCATTGTGGAGTAACATATTGCTACCGGGGATCTGACTTCCAAGCGGGTAAGCTTATCAAAGGGGTAAACAGCCCCTTAGGGTTGTAGAACACACGTGGGTGCTAAATATGACCAGGACTCCTAACCCAGAGAGACATATGAGGTGCTGGCGGTGCCAAAGACTGGGACATGTGGCTGCCAATTGCCCCGTAGTACATTCTTTGCGCTGCGAGTTGCCCGTTGCACATCTCCTCATTCTCTACTCTGCCCCGTGGCTTCCCTATTCCACTCCGACACATTCGAGAATTTACAGTGTTAACCTTAATAAAGACCCGGTGTTCTGTCGAAAGCTCCAACTCCTCGAGTTCTCCAACTGCCTGACTTCCGCCTTTAGTTAGAACTACGAGGTTTGGCTGAGGAGGCTCTACTGCACGCGCGCCGCCCGCGGAATTTCCCAATACACGTACTAGGCCGCAATAAAATATTAAAATGAACTAGGATCACACTAATCCAGCTCGGTATTAAAAGAGAACTATGAGGGGGGAGGGGCTTTTCACTCACCTCATAGTTCTAGACGACCTGTGACAATAGTTGCCCCGCTCAATATGGCCGCCGCTCTCAGTTTAGTAACGTGCTGGATTAGTGTGATCCTAGTTCATTTTAATAGTCTATCGGTCTGTAGTATATGTATAGGGAAATGGGAAACGGCCAAACCTCTTACGTCTAAATAAAGCGGAAGTATTCTGACTCCGATTGTTGTGATAGCGATGTATCCCTTGTGAGACCTCTATGCCTGGCCTGTATAATTAGATTAAATCACTGAGGACATTCATTGTCAGATAGCTGAACTCACCAATACCGTTTCATCCACAAAGATTGCTTTATTCTGTACGTGCAGACAACAGGATACAGCAGATGGAGGGTTTTCAGTATTATGCGGTCAAAAAATGATGCCTTTCCTAGCGTACTGTGCAGAGTACATGTCTCCTGATTACATGTGGCTGTTAGCTGTTGCCATGACACAGGAAAACTGACAACAAAACGAAGGGTGGGGCTTACTTACAGAGCAACTGTCATACAGAAAAACCGGTGCAATATCACAAAGGCCACTAGATGGCAGCATAAGGAACTAGACATATAAAAACGCCCATAGGAAAAGGTATAGGGAAAACAATCTATATAAACCTTCTATCTAAATAAACTTCTATGCCCCATTGGGGCGGCACAGGAAGTCAGGCAGTCGGAGAACTCGAGGAGTCGGAGCTTTCGACAGAACACCCAGAAGCGTTCAGAGCTTCTTTCAACAGAAAGCGACTAAAGCATTACCATGGAAAGCTAAACCAGGTGTACCAGAGGCTGGAATGTGAAAGACAACGTCTGCCGATTCAGGAAATGTGACGGATATTACAGAAGAATTGAGTTTTCAGAATTACCGGCCGAAGTAACGCTCCACCATGACTGAGCGCAAGCTACTAAAGAAACATTGGATCCGGTTCACTTCCTGTATTTCTCTTTTTACAATATTTGTAGGATTCATATGACCTTTCACATACAACGGACTCATTTCTTGGTCATCGCATACAGATTACATCTCAGTTACAATACAAAGAGTGAAAAAGAAACTAAAATCTGATGCACCAAAGTATTCAATGCGCTTTATCTTTTCTGTGGTGACTTTATGTCATGATTAATATGACTTCATTCCACTGAGTGATCAGTACATAGAGGAGAATCCAGATCTGAGAGATCAGCCCTGACCAGCCGCTCACCGCACAGATTGTAACTTTCACTTTCACTTCTGCAGAATCCTATCACCGGGAATGAATGTACGAGGAAAGGATAGGCAGCTCTTTATCAGATCCGGTCTCTTCTCTTGAAATGATGAAAAGTCTCCAGAACACACATTGTACCCTCAATAATAACCACATCCTGGTAGAGACATTCTTATGTCATCACCATCTACATCCTCACCACACACTGTTCCCTCAGCAGTGTCCACATCCTTCCTCAATGTCTGTACTACATTCTCTAAGAGCTAACCACATCCACATTATACGTCTTCCAGGAGCTCGTCCATCCACACTACATTCTCTGACAGCTCTCCTCCCACCATCCACACTACATTCTCTGACAGCTCTCCTCCACCATCCACACTACATTCTCTGACAGCTCTACTCCACAATCCACACTACATTATCTGACAGCTCTCCTCCACCATCCACACTACATTCTCTGACAGCTCTCCTCCCACCATCCACACTACATTCTCTGACAGCTCTTCACACAAGAATGGCATTACTGCAAAGTGTGTGTGGTGGGAGTAGAATGTCCCACCATTGAAGTCTCCAAGAAACAGAAGCAGCCAACAGAAGACTCAATTCATCAATCTCCACCTATAAATGAAGTATCACATATCCTGTGATGTATATCTTTATAAATTAATTTGTTGTCCTCCATTTGTTCTATAGACTAGACTGTCCCACCTGCTAAAAGACATTGTATATTTGTCTGAAGAATCAGCAGGACCATTCTTTCTGATGTCTGATTAGACTTATTTTATCTATAAAACATTTCACGCAATTTAAACGCACTCAGGACGCTCCGTTTCGTGTCTTCTCTGGTGAGTAAGAAGTAGCTTTTTCTCACTAAAGGATTTCTCGCACTCTGAACATGAATAGGGACATTCACCTGTGTGAATCCTCTGGTGTTTAACAAGGGCTCCTTGATTAATGAAACATTTCCCGCACTCTGAACATGAATAAGGACGCTCACCTGTGTGAATTCTCTGGTGTTTAACAAGGTCTCCTTTCTGTGTGAAACATTTCCCGCACTCTGAACATGAATAAGGACGGGCACCAGTGTGAATCCTCTGGTGTATAAGAAGGTCTCCTTTCTGGGTGAAAGACTTCCCGCACTCCGAACAGGAAAATGGACGCTCGCCTGTATGAATTCTCTGATGTATAAGAAAGGCGATGTTCTGCACAAAACATTTCCCGCATTCTGAACAGATGAATGGACGCTCGCTCGTGTGAAATCTCTGGTGTTCAGCAAGTGCGCCTTTCTGAGTGAAACATTTCCCGCACTCTGAACATGAAAAAGGAACCTCACCCGTGTGAATTCTCTGGTGCCTAAGAAGTGAGATCTTTTGTGTAAATAACTTTCCGCACTCTGAACAAGAAAAAGGACGCTCACCTGTGTGAACTCTCTCATGCCTGAGAAGGGTGATTTTCTGTGTAAAACCTTTCCCGCACTCCGAACAGGAAAAGGGACGCTCCCCCGTGTGAGTTCTTTGGTGCACAATGAGCTTTTCTTTTTTAATGAAACATTTGTTGCACTCTGAGCAGGAATAAGGACGCTCGCCCGTGTGAGTTCTCCGATGTCCGCTAAGTGCTCCTTTCCGCGAGAAACGTTTGCCGCACTCAGAGCAAGGGAAAGGACGCTCACCCGTGTGAATTCTTAGGTGTTCAACAAGTGCTACTTTCCGGCTGAAAAATGTTCCGCACTCTGAACACAAATAGGGATGCTCACCCGTGGGAGTTCTGTGTTGTTTAAGAAGGTCATTGTATTCAGTGAAACTTTTCCCGCACATAGAACAGGACAATGAACTCTCTCCTGCGTGCGCTACCTTATGGGATGAGGGAGATTTCTTGGGGTAAGATGGATCTGTTGATCTCTTCGCACTGTGAGGACCTTGATGGACTTCTGAGGTCATGTGACGCGCGTGATCAGAAGATCCCTCAGGATTAGACGGATCCATTGATTTTGCCAGTGGGTAAGAATGTAATTTTGGAGAATATTGCGCAATGTCGCCGTCTATTGCATCACAATCTGGACATATAATAAGATGTCTCTCCGATGTCTTTATATTCCACTTATGTCCACCTGTTGGAAAGTAATGATGAACACATGTTATATTTGTGTCCGTCTTCCATTCAGGGGTCAGATCTATCCTTCAGGGGTCGTATCTATCCTTCAGGGGTCAGATCTATCCTTCAGGGGCTGTATCTATCCTTCAGGGGTCGTATCTATCCTTCAGGGGTCGTATCTATCCTTCAGGGGTCAGATCTATCCTTCAGGGGCTGTATCTATCCTTCAGGGCTCAGATCTATCCTTCAGGGCTCAGATCTATCCTTCAGGGGCCGTATCTATCCTTCAGGGGCCGTATCTATCCTTCAGGGGTCATATCTATCCTTCAGGGGACGTATCTATCCTTCAGGGGACGTATCTATCCTTCATGGGTCGTATCTATCCTTCAGGGGACGTATCTATCCTTCAGGGGCTGGATCTATCCTTCAGGGGCCGTATCTATCCTTCAGGGGTCGTATCTATCCTTCAGGGGACATATCTATCCTTCAGGGGCCATATCTATCCTTCAGGGGTCGTATCTATCCTTCAGGGGTCGTATCTATCCTTCAGGGCTCAGATCTATCCTTCAGGGGTCGTATCTATCCTTCAGGGGCCGTATCTATCCTTCAGGGGTC